CCCCAAAACCCCAAAACCCCAAAACCCCCTTAATTAAACACTCCCATTGAAGTGGATATTAAAGGATACTTATAGAGCATAAATACACTTTATTAATCAATTAAGTTAGGCTAATAATATTTTAGGATAATGGAACAGAGCGAACTCAGTGAAATAAAGCAACAAGTTAAGGATTTAGTCAAAGGCCGTACCTATAGTCAAGAGATTCAACTGTGGCTTTTTGGAGATTTTGTAATTTCAGAGCAATTTACAAGAGGACGTTGACCATTTGGATTCCTCAGAAAAATTGAAGAAGACATGAAAAAGCGCAATAAAAGAAAATTGAATAAGAAACATTGAGTTTTAGAGTTTAATGGTTACAAATAAAGTGTTGTTTAAGTATGAACCAAAAAGAGGAGTAAATGGACTTTGTCTGAACCATCCACTTCATTCTCTAAATAGTAATGCATATAGTTAACGTATAGCTGAGACATTTAAACCTATCTATTATATTCATAAAAGTCCTTGAATGGCTGAAATATTTCAAGAAAGCATGCAAAAGCTTCCAGTATGCCAGTTTGAAGGTACTTCACTTTATTATATTATAGATCCACAAAAAATTACCTTGTCAATGGCTACTTTCCTGGTAACAAAGGATGGTTATATTTTACTGGTTAGAAGAATGAATAATGCCAATCGACTTCCTGGGTGGGGAGCTCCAGGAAGAGGAACCATGATTTCAACTTACGAAATGGGATTGGGTAAGATTCTTTTGTTCTTACTGGTCCATGCCGTTTAGTGCTTTCAAATTTCTATTCTTATTAATTGGGTGAAAATATAGAAGTCACAAATGAGACTAATGTATATGACAATTTATTCGAAGATGTTGGCTTTTCATGTCAGGAGTCTATTAAGAAGAAATCAGAACAGCCTATCTTTAAGCCTGTGTTTATTCAAGAAGGTAAGACTAAATTAAAGTAGATTGAAGTTTAAAACTTTCAGATTTTGATCAGACAAACTTATCTTGAATTTTGCCAACTAACTTATAGGATTCATTGATTCGGATGGAAGAACAAATACTGATAGCTCTTCAATATTTGAGAAAGATGATTGAATGAGTATATCATCAATAAGAACTCACACAATGGTTTTATTCTTCTATTGACAAGTGCCTTTGCTGAAGAAGGAAATAGACATAAATCCAAAAGAGAATCAAACAACTTGTAAGGCTTCTCTCTTTCATAATTTAAAATTTAGGAACTTGATGGTTAACTTATGGCCAGCTCAATAGAGTATTATCATATAAAGATACTCCAGAAATTGACTCGAATGAAACTCAAGGGGAGTTTTCAATAATAGATGAAGAGGAAAAGGAAGAAGTTTATAAAGCTGACTACCTTGTGAGGTTAAATAAATTAGAATCATCACAGAGAAGGTACAAAGTTCAAAGTGGATATGTAGAGCCAAGACAGCTTTCTGGTAAATACCCAAACAACTCCTGAGGGGAAGGAATGGCTGAGGAAGACTACTATGCATTTAGATTCTTAAGAGATAATTTTAAATATTTGTTTTGCTAAATGAGTTTCAATTAAAATGAATAAAAATGGGGTTTTGGGGTTTTGGGGTTTTGGGG